ACTCCCAGAATTCCCCGGCGAGCTGGGGAATTCTGGGAATGGAAGTCCACACATCTTCAAATGGCTACGGTTGAGAAATACTGATCTGGGGTAATCCCATCACTGTTCTCTGATGTGGTGTGCTGTTTGGCCCTGAGAAGAATAAAAATATGATTAAATAAAAATAAAAAATGAAGTGATGGACTCTGAAACATGACTGGTTAGCTTTGGTGGAGTGATCACAGAGAAGCTGGAAAATAGTTGAAAATGCCTGCATTTAGACTACTTTTGATTAGGGATGTGTGGGTCACTATAAATCTGCCTTATTTTAATTTCCACAGTTGTCTGACAGCATTCAAGCTTGTGTTTCTGCATTTCTTTTTCTAAAAAAAGTGCAGCCCTCTTTTGCTTTCATTCCCAACTCTCCCTATCACGCAGGATCTTTGGACGTAATTGGTATTAAAGTGCGGAGGCTGCTGACATAGAGAAACATTTTTCTCTTGGACTCCCTTTATTACATTGGTTTTCCCAAAGTCGGCTTTTAAGAGCGTAACATTGTTCCCAATTTTTGTCAGAGGTTCCACACACAGCTGCAGAAAGCCAGAAGAAGCCTGACGGCATCTTTTCAACCAAATGTGTTTGGTGTTGTGTATGCAGATTTTTGTGTGTGTGTGTGTGTGCCAAGAATAGAGAGAGTCCCTGCTTAGTACTGTTATCTGTACCCAGATAATATTTCTTTGGGTGGATTTTGCAAATCTGCTTCTGTAGAAATCAGTGGCAGATTTCCTTTGTATCTTATGTTTTTTTTCCCCTGAAGATGAAGATCAACCCCATGCTGAAAAGGACTGGATTTGCAACCAGGCTACCTGAGTCCCAGCCTCGGTGTTGCAATTTTCACAACATAACATTGTTTTTTGGACGCATCCCAAACATGGAAAGGGTGCATTGTCACACCCATTTTTATTTTCTAACCAGTTTATTGCAGCACTCCAGAGAGAGAGAGAGAGAGAGAGAGAGAGAGAGAGAGATGATAAGATAGCTTCTCTAGCTTTCTGTAATGTTTCATTGTGAATTTTTGCTCATTTTACAGGACGTTGGTCTCAAAATCTTTACTAGCACCAAGATCTACAAGCCTAATATTTGCAGAGAATTGGTATATGGTAAGAATCTGAATTGGGGTGACAGGGTGGATGGTGGGGGGGCCTCCTCTATTTATTTATCTACTGCATTTATATCATGACTTTCCACCAGGAGCGCACCAGTTTTTCCCAACCCAGATTTTTTGGTGGCGTGGGTGGAACCAAGAGATGGTGGCTGGCCCAGAATCTGCCAGGGAACTTCTGTGACTGAAGAGGGGGTGGTGGTGTTGGAACCTGAGTCTGCCTATTATTAATCCAGCACTTACCCTCACCCCACACTGGCTCTTGGGCTGAGCAACTGTCCCAGGGTCCCCCAGGGAACCTATGTGGCTGAGGAAGGACCAGAGCCTGGGTCTTCTCACCTCCAATTCCTCACCTTCACCAACAGACCAAAGAGAGTTAAAATCATGGGACGCGGTCTTTGCATGTAAAATTGCCCATTTCATACAGCCTCTGTGCAAATTTCTGGTGCAACCGCTCTTTGAATACTGTTTCCGTTCTGTTCGTTGCCCCTCAAAAAGGATATCATGGAGCTGGAAAAGGTGCAGGAACCCAATTTATGAATGCCAGTGGGGGTAAGTGCAGCTTAGAGAAATGGTGAGTTAGGGGAAACAGGATGGGCTTGGAATAAATGGGCATACCCCCCAAACACTAAAATTGGAGGTCATCCAAAGAAAGGGAAGACTGGGACAGGAAGATGTCTTTGCTCAGTGCAAAGTTAAATTGGGGGGGGGGGGGATTAGGTGATTTTAAAAGGAGATCAGATGCCCAGAGTCGCTCGGTATTGGGCAGCACCTAAATCGACCAAACAAAGAAGCAGACAAAGGCTGAAGCGATCAATTGCTATTGATTGCGATGGCTATAAATATGCATCCAAGATCAGAGGCAGCAGGACACTGGTGCCAGTTCGAAGTGGGCAAAGCAAAATCCAGAGAGGATCCACTGCGGGGCTTGCTAAGAGACATCTGATTAGGGATTTTTCTCCATAGGTGCCCCCTAGAAATGATGGGTCTCAGGTACCTATTACAATTGCCTCAGCTTAGTAGCTTGTTACTCTTATTTGAACCTTATCCTAGGCCAGTGTTTCTCAACCTCAGCAACGTTAAGATGCCTGGACTTCAACTGCAACTTTAAGATGCTGGCTGGGGAATTCTGGGAGTTGAAGTCCAGGCACCTTCAAGTTGCTGAAGTCGAGAAACACTGGCTTGGGCTAACAGATCAACTCCCTATCTTGACCAGGATCAAGGGATCCCTGTAACCTCTTTATTGCATCACTGCAATGCATAGTATGTGGGGCTACTCTTGAAGATGATCTCTAAGCTGCAGCAGCTGCTTATGAACTACTGGGTCCAATTCCAGAAGTTAACACTAGTCTATACAAGCCTCAGTGGCTAATGGCCACCTCCCCTAACATCCTCAGCCCAAGAGGCTTTCAGTTGGAGCGAGCCCACTCATGGTTTCAGCAGAAGGTCTGACCTACAATAAGGCCTTCTTAGTGGTGACACCCTGATTATGTCATTCTCTCCCCAAGAAACATGTTGGTGGCTCCTCCATTGTTGAATTTTAGGTGACAATTCTGGGCATCCATGGCCAGCTAGGCATCTGTAGTGTAAGAAATGTACCAACCAAGCTGCCTTTACATGATATGACCTATACGTTAAAAAACCTTGAAAAACCCACCATCTTGGGTCCCTTTAACCCCAATGCTGTATCTCAGGTTAGCTGCAAGTTAGACCATCAGGGCAGAAAAGATCCAAGATGATAACTCCTTTGGATTCATGGTAAGGCTGAAACCTCAATTAAAAGGCTGAAGTTTTAACAAGTGCGAATGAAAAATGGCACTGCACCAACACTTACCAGCTGAGTTTTATAGCCGTTCATGTTCAACTGTCTGCATATGATGTGGCTGGGAGCAGGGGCGTCCATGGGAGGAGGTCAAAAAAGTCAAGATGGTGGTCACGACTGCACGATCGAAGCCCTGTCTCTTTTTTATGTCTGTAAGAAGAGGCAAGTTAGGAAGAGTATTGACACTTTTGAACTTTGGTGTTGAGAAGACTCTGGAGGATACCATGGACAGCTGGAAAAACAAACAAATGGATCACAGAACAAATCCACCCAGAGTTCTCACTCGAGGCACAAAAGACCAGGCTCAAATTATCCTACTTTGGACACATGATGCGAAGACCTCGCTCTCTGGAGGAGGCTCTGTTGCTGGGAAAGGTGGAAGGAAAGAGAAGAAGAGGACGACCAGCGGCAAGGGGGATAGACTCAGTTACAGTGGTGAGGAGGCACCGTTAGAAGAGCTGAAGGACCAGGTTAGGAACTGGTCATCATGGAGAAAATCTATGTGGTCACTAAGAGTCGACCACACCTTGATGGCACGTAATCAATCAATCAATCAATCAATCAAGAAGAGGCAGGACTCTGATCATGTGGCTGCAGCTACCATCTTGCTTTTTAAAAACTCCCTGTGGACACTCTGGCTGCGAGTAATATTTCAATAAATCTGGAAACCATCCAGTTGGGAAAAGCGCTCTTAGCGCTTCCTCTACTTCATTTCCTTCTCCTCGTTTAACATTCTTCTCTGTGAGGTCTCTCCAGTGCTTGTGGTTCTAGTAGGGGGACATGATGACTTTTTAAAGGTTTATAAAGGTAGCGGGTATCCCCTTGGGAGAGTTCATCTCTCAGTCTCCAAGACGTTAATCTTGAAGAAGAGCTTGAAGGTGCTAAAATACAAAAGGCGTGAAAGAAATATAAGCTTTTTCTCTTTGCAGGCGGGGGCTACCATACCGGAATGCGTTTGTCTGCACCAGACGTCTCTGAAATGAACATTGCTGTAGCTCCTGACATAGAACCAGTAGAAACAACCATCAGGACCTTTTTCCCTGAAACCTGGTTATGGCTCTTGAAAGCTCTTGGGTAATACAAGGATTTCATGTTTGGTGAAAGGGGTAGATCTTCAGAGAGAAATGTTAAGACCCCATGGCTACTACTAATACTGTATAAGCCCTCTGCGATAAGCCGACCCTTGAATTTTTAACCAAAATACCATGAAAAAATGTGCCACCCACAGATAAGCCAACTGCATTTTTTGTGGTATTTTTGGTAAAATTTGGGAGTCGGCTTATCCACGGATGGGCTTATCTGCGAGTATATACGGGTCCCTTAAAAAAGCATTACCATATATACTTTAGATAAGCCCATCTGCAGATAAGCTGAACCCAATATTTTGGGTGCATTTTGGCCCCTAAAATTCTTGGCTTATCCATGAGTATATACAAGTAGTTATAATTGTGCACTGGCATATGTAGCCATTTTTCATTTTACTGTAAACATTCGTAGAAAGGTTACCATTTTAAAAAAGATAAAAACGAGGCGAAACCGCGCAGATCAAAACTTTCTGCACTTGAATCGCTGGATGAACTGAAACCGTCTCTCTTACCATTCGCATTGAAAGCTCTTCTAAAGGAACTGCAAGCGGGGGTTAACAGCATGAATATTGCTGAGAATTCAGATTCTCTCAGTGGAGGTGAGAATACAGAAGTCAATAAACACAGACCCACTGCAACATCTTGTTGGAATCCCCGTTTAGCAGATGTCCAGACAGCAGACATTTCCAGCTGTCTGGACATCTGGAAATTCTCATCTGGATCCCTCCCTGTTGCGTCTGAAGTGGTCCTGATAAGGCCCTTAAATTTTTGGTAGTTGTATGTTCTTTGCATCCATGGATGCAAACGATATAATTTGCCTGATTTGTATAATGCGGACACGTCCAGTATCCTGCCTCTGAAATACCACCACCTCTGTGTTAGTAAAGAAACCGAAAGACCAAAATATCAGGAATCCCCTCACAGCCTTGAAGCTGGATAAGCACTGGATTCCCGGAACTGAGACCTAAAGGACATGGGTGACGTTATTCTTCCTTGCCATTTTCAGCAAACTTGGCATACGGTATATTACCACGTTGTAATCTCTAACGCCGAACTAAAAAGACAAGGATAAGCCACCTGCGTCACTGGAGGCTGCAAGACGGGAAATGGGTGGTGATGCCCTATGTCACCAGAATAAGCAGAGCTGAAAACGTGGGGTGATTTTTTCTTACCACATTTTGGTGGGCTGGGAAGGATTTCAGGGCCAAATTGGGTGCCTCGCTTTGGAACGGCGAGAGGAAGCACAGAGTCTTGTTCCTAAGCAAGAACAACCGCCAGTGTGTGTGTGTGAAAAAGTCAATATGGTGGCTGTGATTGCACAGCTGAAGTTCCACCCCTTTTTACACGGCAAGTAAAAAGGGGTGGGGCTGCACAGTCATGGATGCCATCATAACCTTTTGGACCCCTCCTGTGGACCCCCGTCTCCCTTTTTACTCCTGTTCTAACGCCCTCTTTGAAGCAGTAAGAGCTCTTACCAGAAGTTGGAACTTGAGTTTTGAAATCCAGCCAAGGGGCTGCAGGCTTCCCTAAAGTCCAAGATTGTTGTTGTTTTCTCACCTTGCCATGCCAAGAAAATACTGCTTTGTGAAACACATCCTCACCTTTTCTTCTCTTGGGTCCCTTAGCGGTGAAGGAAGCAGCGAGACCAAGGTCACTATGCCCGTCACCATTCCAGACACTATCACAGATTGGAGAGCTGGAGCCTTCTGCCTGTCCCCAGCCATGGGCTTCGGCCTGGCCCCTACCGCCTTCCTCACAGCCCTCCAGCCTTTCTTCACTGAAGTCACTCTGCCATACAGTGTAGTGCGGGGAGAAACCTTTGTCCTGAAGGCCACCGTCTTCAACTATATGCCACATTCTCTCCAGGTGAGGGACGCTTCCATACCTGCAGTCTCCGTTCCCTTTCTGTCTGCCCCGATCTCTCTGACTGCATGCCCACTTATACTTAAGCCAAAGTTTGTTTTAAGTATGATTTCCCAAAAGAGACAGGAAAAGCAAGAATGAAGGTTTGCAGAGGAGGAAAGTAATTGTGGTTGGTTTATCGGTTTCTGCTTATTTCTTCTTTTCTTTTAGCTGCTCTTGCCTTTCTCTTTGATGGAGTGGTTAGAGCAGGGTTAGAAAGTGTTTGGACTTGGAGAATCCTTGGGGAGTTGCTACCTTGAAGACCAGCGGCGACTGGGAAGAGAAGCAGAAAAAATGATAACAAATTTCACGCCAGGAACGATAGAAAGGGCTTGGTTTTTAGAGGGCATGTAGTCTAACCCCTGCTCAGTGCAGGATCCACTAGAGCAGTGTTTCTCAACCTTGGCCACTTGAAGATGGGTGAACTTCAACTCCCAGAATTCCTTGCTGGCTGGGGAATTCTGGGAGTTGAAGTCCACCCATCTT